CTCACGAGGTCCACCAATACCGACCACCACCCCTACCAGTGGAACAGGCAGCAAATTTTCTCCTTAGCACTCACAAAGCGTAAAGCGTCACACTACGACCCCGTTGGTGTAGGATTGACGCTGCCTCCGACCTTGCGAATACGACCCCCTTTTTATCGGCCGAATACGACCCCCCTCGTTGGACTTTGTCCAAGGGACGGTTGACCCTGGTTGGAAATCAAGTTAGAGATAGTGAGTGAGCACGAAAGAAGAGAAAACCAAAAAAAAACAGCTAGAACCCGAAGGGATCCTTTCTTGCCCGTTGACCTCCGCATTTATGCGATTTTCATCGGTACTGCCCTTTTCGCTAACGCGCTGTTGGTACGGTAGGGGCTCAGAGAGCGAGATGGGCGTTCCGCAATGGCGCTGCGAGGAACGTCATGCTAAATGCGTGCATCAGGGCCCTGGCAACAAGTACGTGTGTACATAATCAGGACACGCAAAAGGTTTGGGGTCCATTGGTTTTGACGGCAAGTTTTTTTTCTAGTGAGACAAACCAAATTTTACGATATCCTAACGGGCGAAGTGTGTTCCTACAAGTGCGTACCAAAAGTATGTGGACACCCTGGAATCGATTCTCAGGGGTCAGCTAAAGGCTTTTATGTCATGAAACCTCCACCATCTAGTGGTCGATAACCTACAATGATATTTTCGGCAAAAGATTTCGTTCTAACTTAGCGAACTATTTTCATGGAAAGTTTTTTCTTTGTATCAAAATTATGTGGACACTTTTTGAAAAACGGCAATATCTTCAAAATCTGAAATCGGTAGGCCTACCAAAGTTTCTAGTAAGTTGAGCCATTCTGTTTGGCATGCTATGAATGGGTCTGGATACATGTCTTGCAGATCTGTTCCCAACTAGCAAATTTCACCGACGTGTTAGGTCACTTGTGATATTACTCTTTTGTTCATGAGAGAGGATATAGGAGTGAGGAACGCCGAGGGAGAGAGGGTCCTGGACCTGGCTACGGCCCACGATCTGGCAATCTGCAGCACGTTCTTCGCGAAAAGGGAGACTCAGAAGGTCACCTACAGCAGTGGGGGACGACATACGGAAATCGACCATGTGCTCGTAAGAAGATCATCCCTGAGATCGGTAAAAGACATCAAGGTACTCCCTGGCGAGGAATTGGCTCCGCAGCACAGGCCCCTCCTGGCAGACATTGCCATGGACCTCCCGAAGAAGACAAGGGTTAGAACCGAGCGGAGAATCCGGTGGTGGAAGTTGCACCAAGCGGAGAAAGATGACCTCAAACGAAGGATAATGGAAGTTGGTCTCCCAAATCCTAACGGGCCAATACAGCGACATTGGAGCAAGACGGCTGAGACCATCCTGCGATGTGCCAAGGAGGTACTGGGCGAGACGCGAGGTGGATTCAGAGGAGACAAGGCAGCGTGGTTCTGGAACGAGGAGGTCCAGCGAGTCGTGAAGCAGAAGAAGGAAGCATACAAGCGCTGGCAGAAGACCCGGAGCCCCGAGACCTCGCTACCTACAAGAGTTGCAAGAGGCTCGCTAAGGCTGCCGTCGCCAAGGCGAAGAACACGGAGATGGACGCCTTGTACGAGAAGTTGGAAAGCAGAAACGCAGAGAAGTTCGTCTTCAGACTGGCCAAAGCCCGGCATCGGGCTACCCAAGACATCAGGGTGGTGAAAAGTGTGAAAGGCAGAGATGGTGTCATCCTAAGGAAGCCAGCCGAAGTCAAGAGGAGGTGGGAAGAGTACTACAGTGCACTTCTGAACGAGGAGTTCCCCACGAGAACAACTCACGGGCAGAGGCCACAGCTGGTCCCATCGCACTCTGGACTGAGGATGAGGTTAGGTGTGCACTTGGGAGGATGAAGATTGGGAAGGCGGTTGGCCCAGATGGGGTGCCAATCGAGGCATGGAAGGCGCTCGGGTGAGTACGGGATAAGATGGCTCACACGATTCCTCAACAACATAACTGCGGAAGGAAGGATGCCAGATGCCTGGAGAACAAGCACTATCGTCCCCATCTTTCAAGCAGAAGGGTGACGCGATGGACTGCTCCAACTACCGCGGGATCAAGTTGACTGCTCATACAATGAAGCTGTACGAGCGACTGGTCGACTCGAAACTGCGGGAGCTGGTCCCCATCTCCCAGGAACAGTTCGGGTTCATGCCCGAAAGGTCTACAACGGATGCCATCTTCATCGCAAGGCAAGTGATGGAGAAGTATCGAGAAAAGCGCCGACCCTGCTACCTAGCCTTCCTCGACCTGGAGAAGGCGTTCGACCGGCTACCACGAGCGGTACTATGGAGAGCGCTTAGGGAACGGAACGTGCCAGAACACCTGGTCTCGCTGGTGAAGGATATGTACGATGGGGCGAAGGCAGCTATACGCACCCCACACGGCCTAACGAAGGAAGTGGACATCACGGTTGGGGTGCACCAAGGGTCAGCTCTGAGCCCGTTCCTCTTCCTCCTGACACTAGATGTCCTGGTGAAAGGGCTCATGGAAGGACCGCTAAAGACCATCCTCTACGCAGACGACATCGCCCTGATAGCGGATAGTAGAGAGGAACTACAGGCCAAGGTGCAGCAATGGCAGAAGGTCCTGGCAGAAGGCGGACTACGGCTGAATGTTAAGAAGACCAAGTTCCTGAGTTCTGAAGAGGGTGCAGAGCCGATCATGGACGGGCATGGTGAAAGCATCGAAAGAGTAGAGGACTTCGCTCTTAGGAAGTGATCCTGGGGCCCAGACGGCAGTGTGGACCAGGCAGTAATGGGGAGGATCAACGCGGCATGGGATGAAATGGAGGGAGTCCACTGGAATCCTCTGCGACCTCGAAGGTGCTCCAGAGCGCTCAAAGGGAAGGTGTACCGAACAGTGGTAAGGCCTGCGATGCTCTACGGCAGCGAGTGCTGGCCCCTGAACAAGAATCACGAAAGGCAGCTTCACTCCGCTGAGATGAGGATGCTGAGGTGGGCCTGCGGCTGGACGCGACTGGATAGGGTCAGGAACGAGGATGTCAGAGCGGTCATGCAGACTGCCCCTGTCCCCCTGTCAGCTGAAGGTGAGGGAGCAACGACTGCGGTGGTATGGGCATGTGCTGAGAAGACCGCAAGGCCACCCAATAAGGAATGCGAATGGACTTCGAAGTGCAAGGCAAGCGACCGCGAGGAGCCCCAAAGAAGAGGTGGAAGGATGTGATCAAGAAGGACCTAAGTGAAATCATGGCCACTGCAGGAGATGCCCTAGACAGAGCGAAGTGGCGACGACTGACAAAGACAGCGGACCCTGCGACTGCGCGGGACTAACGCTAGGGAGAAGAAGAAGAAGAAGCTAAGAACGCGAACCACGATACCTCTACGTTTTCAATAAGGATGAAGTCTGAGGAATACGCTAGCCGACTTGCCAATCAAAGCCGTTGCGTTTAGCATTTTTCCAAATGGAATGGTGTCAGGGACCTCCCCTGCAAAACAAGTGATTTGCAACCATGACTTTTCGAAAAAGGTTGTAGCCGGGACTCAAGCACCTCATTATAATCCTAGTCGTCTACCTGACATGTTGGCAAGCCAAACTTCAATGTCCCCCTCCTTTTGGAACCACCCCAGACCTTTGATGAACATCTTCCGAATTGTCTCTTCGAGCACATCTGCGGGTCCGACCAAAGTCTCTCCAAAAACCTCAAGACCCACCCGAATAGTAAGGAATAAGCTTCTTTCTGCCAGTCGAGTTGGTCTATGAGAGAAATTTCCACAGAAAGTCTTTTATACTAATTTTACCATTTCCACGAAAGCACTGTCTGTGTGGGTTCAAAGTATCATGTTGTGATCCTTTTTTGAGTGGGAATTCCAACCTTGCCAACCTGAACCCGCATTCATATACAAAGCCTTCTTCATCTTCTTTCGTGTCGTGTGCTCAATTGATTGAATGAGACACCGATTGGTCTTTTTTAAGATCGGGAAGATCATTTATGCGTAAAGTTGAGTAGTACGAAAAGAATAATTTGAGAAAATTAAGGCTATTCTTCTCCTGTTTTGAACAAGTAGCGATTGAGAACAACCCTCAGTCAAGGTCGAGAGCTTAGCATCAGGATTTCGGATTTCTCTCCAAACCTACGAGGACGCATGACTGGTTGACGTGCTATTTCGCAATAGGAAGGTTCAGAAGCATGGGGATCCCATTTCTGTGCTCGGTCTTCTTCAGAAAAACGCTTGCCGTGAAGAGGAATGATGCCAGAATAAGTAACGAAAGGAGAAGTAAAAATAGGTTAGGAAATCGATGCAAAAACTTCATCTGCCTCAGGGTGTCCACATAATTTTGATACAAAGAAAAAACTTTCCATGAAAAATAGTTCGCTAAGTTAGAACGAAATCTTTTGCCGAAAATGTCATTGTAGGTTATCGACCACTAGGAGTTGAATGGTGAAGGTTTCATGACATAAAAGCCTTTAGCTGACCCCTGAGAATCGATTCCAGGGTGTCCACATACTTTTGGTACGCACTGCAGTAGAGCGAAGCTTTCTAGAAATCCTCATCAGTCGGTCCTCAGAGATCGTGCGGAGATCGAGAAAAAAAAACGTGAATTGAGGTCTGAGTAGGAGGATACGCCAAGCATTCTTGTGAGCGAGGTTTGCAGCGGATATTACTCGCTTTTGAAGGGCCCAGTAGCTGGTGAATAAAAGTGGAATAAGGCTAGCAAAGGAGGAAATACCAAGTGCTACTAGTCAGCGAGCCGTGTACCGAAGTGGGAGTGAGAGGGGAGAGCGCTTCAAGATCATCGTAATCACAATTCACAATAGAAGGAGACAGCACCAGGCAAAATTGGAGGAATTCAGCAAAGTAGGTGAGGTCATTTGGGTGGTTATAATGAAGGGTGGAGCTTCATTCGGGAATTTTTGCCTCATTTCATAATGTCAATGAATTGTGACGAGCTCGCAGTGACATGCTAATGCAAACTGGTAGAAAATAATTTGCTACTGAAGGTCCATCCAATATTACCTGCAGAGGCCCTCCATACGCTGGTTCACATTCTCGAGGCCCCACATCATCAGTTGGCCAATTTCAGCCTGGAGAAGGTGTGCTATTGAGGAGCACTGTTCGGCTAACTTGAATCCTTTTGTGGACCAGCAGCGCAACACGACATCTCGAAATTCTAAAGCCTCATCATTTGTATGCGTTCTAACCTCTAGCCTCGCTAGCTCCCGTACCTGTGTCGTTTTTGAAGTCGTAACAGATTATGTTCCAAGACTCTTGTCCGCTCTGCAATATTCGTTTCGCAGGATTCTCAGGGCACAGCGATAGGCACTGTTGGTAGATTGTGTTCAGCCTGAACCAATTAACATTTTTTATAGACTGTGAACCGCCACGTAATAAGAATAGCCCAGTCTCTTCACTTCTTCCAGATAAAAACGTCAAATGGTGAAATGGATCAACTGAGCGATTAAGGCAGATTATGGGTAGGTTCAAAGTGGAAAGGGGTGGCGCGTTGGTAGCACAAAAGGTGAAGAAATTCGTCATAAACTTGCAAAAAGGGTCTCTTGTCTAGTGGTTTTCGACTCTGGACGAGCCAGCAACTAAGAAGTCGTTTGGAGGTGGTAGCCACTATAATCGACTACGTGCCATACATCATGCTTCGGCTGATGGAGCATCACACAGACAAGTTAAAATATACGTCCGCTTGACGCATTCACGCCGATGGCCGCCCATATGGGCTGCCAACAACATGCGCTCCTGGGACGATGGCAGCCCATATGGGCTGCCAACTGATAATCGCTTGCCAGGCGCTAGGAATGGACAGATAGGTGGGCAAACCTCGTAATCGAGTGTAAAATGCTTTTAAATTCCTTCACGGGGAAGTGAATAAATGCTCTCTTTTCGTAACCACTATTTGTCGTTCTGATCGAAATCCTACTGTTATAAAGGATAAATAAAGGATAAAGCATTTGCCGTTGATCAATCCCTTTTTGGGATGCGGCACGCATTCTACTTCCATTTGTACATTCGTAGTGGCGTTTGAATGCGATGTGGCCTATACAATGACTTGCGGGGGCCAGCCGATGTACAAGTCAGTGTTTTTATCCTCCCAGACAAGTCTGGTACCAATTAACCGACCCCGGAGGGATGGAAGGCTTGGTTGGCCCGGGCGACTCACGACCCAGGATTTGATCCCCGGACCGCTTCGTATGTTGTATGCTATACGATAATCTTACGATTGAACACTGCACGAATTTTTGTGACATTCATGTTTTTGTTCATTTACAGTGCAAAATCCGCGGATGTGATGGTTAGGCGGCGCGCCCACAAAATCGCGTCCGTCCCACGGCGACCGAAAGTGGAAAAGGGGCACCGTCGTGGATGTGTTAAAGTGAAATGAGCTTTCAAGATGAGAGGCGAACGGTGATGTTACTGGCACTCACTGGCGTGCGCAGAAGATTTGTGACCAAAGATTTCAAGTTTAGAGCCCTACCGCGCTGCAAGGCTCACCATTCGCCATTAGTACTCCACACTTCGCTTCCTTCGCCGCCCGGCTTCTGATTCCAAAGGTGCATATTTCCCCGAGTGCACCCATTTCAACGTAATCACCTTGCCTTCAAAGTAATCGCCCACGGAAAGATCACGATTCTATCTCTCCCATAAATCACTGGCTCGAGGACCATCATTCACAGGTGAGAGATGCGCGAAAAAACAAAAAAACAACAAATGCGACGACGTAGTGCATTTGGTCTGTAGGCCTGTGCCAAATCTCGTAGCCTTTCATTGGCGTCCTACCCTCGCTAATACTTGCACAGCAACTAACACGAATTGCTTGTGGATTCATAATTCCATGCAAGGGTTGACAGAAAGGGTCGTTCTGGACTATTCTACAACGAAAGAATTGCATTAATGTTTGTGGTAAACAAACGGAACACCGCGAAGGGCTGTCACGAGGTTTAATTTACGCAACCGTGCATCCTGTTCGCAAATGGGTGCATCGAGGAAAGTGTGCGCCAATGTGGACATTAGAAGCCAGGCGGCGAAGGAAGCGAAGTGTGGAGTACTAAATTCAGTGGCTTCTCAAGCAGGATAAGCGCGCGTTTAACATCATACATGGGCTGTTAAAAGTGATAAATAGGACATCTTCGGTAATCGCATTTTATTAAGGGATTTTTTTTTTTTTTTTTTTTTTTTTTTTTTTTTTTTTTTTTTTTTTTTTTTTTTTTTTTTTTTTTTTTTTTTTTTTTTTTTTTTTTTTTTTTTTTTTTTTTTTTTTTTTTTTTTTTTCTTTTTTGGACATCTTCGGTAATCGCATGTTAGATGAGGGATTAGAGCTCTGTAGCGCAGCAGAGTACTTCGCTAAGTGAGTTAGGAAGTCAGAGAGGCTACAGCGCTTTTCAAGGAACCGAGGAATACCTAGGGCAGCCGCGTCATGATGACAGTTCGACCAGATCTAAGCGAGTGAATCCCTCAGAACCTCAAACGAATATCAGGACGATCACAAAAGCACTTCATGCCTTCAGGTTCTTTGTCATTTTTCTACCTCCTGTTCCACGAGTGTACGAAACAAATGTTTGAACTGCGTTCGACAACTTCCTTATTATTTCACTGTAAACAAACATCCCACCTGCAAGCACTTTCCATATGGAACGAAATCTGTGCATGACTGGTACTTTGTGAGAGGAGGGCTTGAAGGGGAGAAACCACGTCAGCACTCCAATCTGATGAAACCCACGCCAGAGTGCTCTGCATTCCATGCATCTGAATCACATTGAAGAAAATATACGTCGATCATTAAATGATTAAACAAAAAATAATATAATAAATAAATATTGGTTATGATCAAATCCATGTTGAAATCAACTTACATAGTTATCTTTGCACTTCAAAAAGCATGCCTGGTGCTGAGCTGCAATGGGTTGAAGCAAGAAGAACAACGCAAAACTTTCTATCATCGCAATGGGCAACACTGAAACTTAAATTGTATTACTATACTTTCTAGCTATCTAAAAAGTAATGCGAAATTCAGATATTCATATAAAAATGTCAGGAAGTTTCTACAAAGCAGTGCAAAAGGCATTGCAAAATTTTAATAGGGCGCTATCACAAGATATGGGGGTATTGTGGTGACAATGCATCATACCGCGTATATCATCTCTTTTCTGTAAAAAAAATTGGGCTAATTCTTGAGTGGAAGAAGCGGCTCGAGATTGTGCAAGCATATTCTTTATTTCTTCGATGTTTCTGCCCCTCCTGGGCTTGGTCCCAGAGGATGCCCCCGCATCATGCGATAACGCTTTTAATACATAGTTTGGTACCTTTGCAATTATTTTGTAAAAAATTATTGAGTCTTTCGCAAGGTGTAAATAGTTTGGAGTCTTAATTCTTTTTTACCACATTCAGATAGGAACTAGAATTTGATATCAATTAGTATCAGAGAGTTAGTATCAGTAAGTTTTTTTGTCAATGAATGGTCTTCAATGAAATAAATATGGAAAGGAGCTGTCGGAACTACTGAAAATGACGTCCTCTTTATTAAAGCGTGAACGAACCCACGAAACAATTTGCTTGGAGCCTAGATAAGAAAACTGATAAGGGAACGGAGAGACTAGTGAAGACAGGCAACATTCTCAACGCAAGGACTAGGAAACAGTCTAGCAGGCAAGTGATCCCGTCAATGTTTCTGGCGTCAATACTAATACGTCTTCACAGATCTAAACGATAAGATGCATTGTATGGCCTCAACTGCATCTTCCACATCTTATCAGAGGATTCGGGACACGACACTTAGCTAGTCCTGGGGTGAGCCCCTATTCGAAGCACCATGAAGAAAAATGTATTCTACCACCGTAACGCTAACGATTGATTCTTGTTGGCATGAGTAAGAAATTGCTCCAATGTTTCCAGTGCATGTTTGACGAGCTCTCCGATCTACAGAATCAGTGCCCTCTTCGGGTTAGGTACATCCGACGCACAATTGTTGTAAGGGATACGTTATGCCGGGTGTCTCCAAGAGGACTCGTCGCGAGACGAAGGAAGAGACGCAGATGCGGCAAGGGACGAGTCGCAGGGAGTGCTGTGCCGATATGAGACGTAGTATGGTACAGCCTTTCTTAACACGTTGACGACATCGCGCGTTTTGGGTTTTTGCACCTCGTGGGACAAGGGCGCTTTTGCGAGCGCGGCCGTCACACCTCACACCGTAAATTTCGAACGATAACTTTGGGATGCTTCAAAGGTACGAAACCATTTCAGCAATATTCAATGCGTAGAAAGTAATCGAAGAAGTTAGTAACCGAAATTCCGATCAAAAACGTGAAATGGTAAGGAAAATTGTGATCCAAGTCCTTCTCTCTGTAGCGGATGCCAAAACTATTTTCCGTTATGTGGATGTTTTCTCCGCTGAGCATGTCCATCATAATAGGAAAGACACAAAAGGATGAACCGAAATCTGCTAACTCCGTCGTGCTTAAGAATGTGCCCGGAAAAATCAACGATTCTAATTGTCAGCTCTTCAATCGTAATAACTTCGTATTCAGCATACATTATAGCCATAAATCACTGGCTTGAGACTCATTATCCACGATAATAGTGAAAAGAACTGAAAGTATTGCTTTCGTTTTGATTAGAAATTCGAAAACTCGAAAAGGCTGCTACGCGTTCGAATTGCCCACGGACGTCTTTCACGAATGCTGGCGACGGGGATGCTCAAACTTGGTTCTTGGAGTGCATTCACTAGAAGCTCTTTCTGGCCTTCTGCTTCGTTGCATTCACATCTTACACTTCTACTCCATCCTATTCCATCGATCGATTTGTCTCCACTCTCCGAAATCGCGCGCTTTAACCCGATTCTCTCATTGCGTCGCCTGGTACGTAGCCGGCCAAACGCCGTCTTCTTTCCATGCCTCGCCTGGCTCTGCCTCCTGGTCCTTCGATGGTCCATAACGTGTAGTTTTTGTACGTTTGTTTCTCTTCAGAAACCGAATCTTCATGCGTGAAACTTTGTGTGCTATTTCCAGTGATCACAACTGACATATTCATGTTAGGAAAGAGTGCAAGAATTTTCCGCGCAAGATTCCTTTAAAAAACTTCTGCTAAACTGGAGCATATTCGATCAAATCACTTGTGACCCATGTCGTTTACAGTTATGTTATGTTTGTAATCCATAGAATAGAGGCAAGCAAATTGGGAAGAATCCCCGCATACGCTAGAAAAAGGGATGACAAGGGTGAGACGCGGTAACCGCGTCTCAATGTCCAACGAGGTGCGCAAAGTGAGACGCGTTACCGCGTCTCAATGTCGTCAATGTGTTAACACGTGGACGACAGGCTGACGCGCATGGTCAGAAATTTGGCACCCGCATCGGGCATTCTGAAGCGCATCAGAACTATGTAATTCATTTTATTGTGCTTGCGCTCCTTCTTCTCGAGTTTTTTTATTCATTCTATAGATAATACATTAGCATAACTATAAACCACATGGCAGCCAGAGTGGTCAAATATCCTTGATTTAGCAAAGATTTTCTGAACGCACAAAACTTTCATTTCAATTCTTCCTTTCACTGTCGTAAACATTCATGTGAAAGATTGTAGAAGCAGTTAATACAAAACTCTGTAAGTTTCAAGATATTTATATTTGATGGAAGAACTAGGTATAAATGCTTTTAACTTCATTCTCGGCAAAAGTGATGTTTTTTCTTCTTTGTGGTTCCCTTATGCGCTCTTCTGGACGAAACCTGTCTACAGATTAATCTTTACGCTTCATCCTTGCCGAAATAATCCTATGAGATTCAAGTTATTGTGCATTTTTAACAAAAAATAAGCGGAAGAAGGTGAGGACGGCGCGCTCGCAAAATCGCTCCTGTCCCACGCGGTGCAAAATGCCAAAACACGCGATGTCGTCAACGTGTTAACATGACGCCCAACCGCCACAGTATGCGCTGCGACTCGGCATTTGCCGCGTCTGCGTCTCTTTCCTTCAGCGCGCCGACGGGCCTCTTGTGGGTCACCCCGTTGTGCCACGCTTCGCTCCCTAAGCAGAACAGAGGAGCGGAATGCTGGCTCACAATAGTGATGTTCTACTGGCTCTACACATCTGCTGCTAGTACTGACACACGATGGCAGTCCTCCGCTACACCCCAGCGAAAGAATTGAGAATCCTAGTCTGCTGAAACGCTGGCTGAAATCAGTAGTGGCCAGAAATTTATGAACAAACGGTTTTTTCATGATTTCTCTTTTGAAAGTCACTGGAACGTCTCCAAATTTGCAACAATTATTAACTACGTGTTTTATGATCCACACAGAAAATTTCAACCTTCAGCTCAAATTTGGGTTTAGAAAATTTTAGATTTTTCGAAATTAATGAAGGCAGGTGAAAGATCACTTGATCCGTTTATTTGATTTAAATAATGTATAACCCAACAGAACAGTCAAGTAAACAGTCACTAACATTAAGCAAGTCTAGCACATTGCCCAGAACTCTCTAAAGTATTGGATACATAAACTGGATTTGAAATGCGGGGTCAACTATGAACTCACTCTCTTAGTAGGGTCTCTCTCTCTGTAGTCCCGTCTTTTCGTGGCTCTTTCATTGACATACGAATTTGTAGGTCCTCCCCTAGTGGTTCTGTAATGTTTGGCTCAAGAGTCTGGCCTGGCTGGTCTTTTAAAAGCACCCCATGCTGTCGAAACCACTCCTGCATGTGAGAGGCCCGATGCTTTGAGTCGCTGCTCTGCTGACAGACAAAGCCAGGTCGTGTGGCAGCCATGTCTACGGATACATAACATCTTCTAGAATCTAAGTCTATACTACGTATTCCTTAGTTTCTCAAAGTCTAAGAAGAGCGCTCGCTGTGAAGTGGGTGGGAGTAGAATGTGATTGACTAAGCCTGAAACGAAGGTTGATACAGGTTTCTAAGGTCATCTGGAATGACAAAAACATATTACTGATGCATGACCAGCAGCAAGGATACTAGTAATGTACGGCACCACGAGAGGGAACGTTTGATCCAAAGAATCAGCTGCCAATTGTGAAACTTGGCGGAGGCTTGATAAGGTTGCCTTGGAAAAAAGTGGGACCACGCTACACGACTGAGGTAGCGATGAAGGCAGACGTTTGCTGTCATGTTTTGGAAGGTGTCATGTATCCGTAGGCGTGGCTGCCGCCCGACCTGACTTTGCCTGTCGGCAGAGCAGCGACTCAAGCATCGGGCCTCTCACATGCAGGAGTGGTTTCGACAGCATGGGGTGCTTTTAAAAGACCAGCCAGGCCAGACTCTTGAGCCAAACATTACAGAACCACTAGGGAGGACCTACAAATTCGTATGTCAATGAAAGAGCCACGAAAAGACGGGACTACAGAGAGAGACCCCACTAGAGAGTGAGTTCATTAGTTGACCCCGCATTCAAATCCAGTTTATGTATCCAATACTTTAGAGAGTTCTGGGCAATGTGCTAGACTTGCTTAATGTTAGTGACTGTTTACTTGACTGTTCTGTTGGGTTATACATTATTTAAATCAAATAAACGGATCAAGTGATCTTTCACCTGCCTTCATTAATTTCGAAAAATCTAAAATTTTCTAAACCCAAATTTGAGCTGAAGGTTGAAATTTTCTGTGTGGATCATAAAACACGTAGTTAATAATTGTTGCAAATTTGGAGACGTTCCAGTGACTTTCAAAAGAGAAATCATGAAAAAACCGTTTGTTCATAAATTTCTGGCCACTACTGTATATTCCACCCGCGAACCTTT